ATCTCCAAATCTGAATCAAATCAGTGGATTATTTTAAAGGTCTGAATCAAATCAAAGCTCTCCAAATCTTCAGAAAAGATTCAGAGAGCTTTGATGATTCAGGCAGTCCCCAGTGGCTGCAACAGGGAGCTGCAGCCACTCTGAGCTGGTAAGTACTAGGGGCTGGGGAGGGGAGGGGACCATGGGGGGATCCTAGCAAACAGACCTGAGGGGAGGTTCCAGACAAACCATGGTCCAACCCTAAGTCCTCAACAGCGGATCAGGCAGAAGAAGATATCAGGATCTCAACAGCTGTAAAGATGAAAGAAGGCTGCAACAAGATGAAGGTCTCCTGTTCTCTAGGGTTCCTCCTTGCCACTGGGCCCAGATCTCCACCTTGTTAAGATTTTGTAGCTGCTGTTTCCACTCACCAACTTCCTCATCTTAAACAAAGTCATGCATAGGCCTCTACCACAGGAAACAACACACTTTCCTGTACCAACCTGCAAAAGCCCTATAGCAATGGACCACTGGTGATAGAGACGGGCCTAATGAATCTGGCAGCTTCCAGCTATGAATCTGCACACAGGTGGCAGTAGCCTGATAACAGTCTTGCACCTTGGTTAAGATCAGGGTGCAATTCAGCAGCTGCTACCATTACTGGACAGTTCTATTCAGTACTCCCATTACTCATCATACATGGGGAAGGGTCTAGAAAAGGTCCCTTAAACCTAAGCTGTCATATTTGCCCCTGGCTGGATAACCATGTCCAACAGGTTCACTCTCTGTGCAGTTGTAAGCATCATAAGACAATAACGATTTCTGCAACATGGAACATTCACGCCTTTATAGATAATCAAGACAACAAAGAACCAGAAGGAAAAACTGCCATTGTCTCCAGGGAACTTGTGAGATACAACATTGACACTGCAGCTTTGAGCAAGACAAGACTACTGGATGAGGGTCAGCTAAGGGAAGAGCGTGGAGGCTACACCTTCTGGAAGGGGAAACTGGCTCAGGACAGATGTGTTCATGGCATTGGCTTCATCATCAAGAATCAGCTTATCAGGTAACTTACAGAGCTGCTGCTGGTCATTAACAAATGTCTGATGACCTTTCATCTTAAGCTCAACAACAACCAGAAGGGCTGTGTGAAGCTTCGGGTGCTGATTCAATTTGGAGGAGATTTGGCCTGATTCGGCGGTTGAATCTCCCAATCCGAATTGAATCAGGGGATCAATTAGAAAGTCCGAATTAATTTGAAGCTCTCTGAATCGATTCAGAAAAGATTCAGAGAGCTTCGGTGATTCCGGTAGTCGCTGCTGGCTGCAACAGGGAGCTGGACCTGGAATCCATGCTGGTAAGCAGGGGGCAGGGGAGGAGGGGCTGAAAGAGAGTGGAGGGGACCATGGGGGGACCCATGCCAGGCTCCATCCCCTGCC